GCTGATATACAGTTTCAATATGTGAATAGGTTTTTGTAGTCCATTTTGTCATCTGAGTTCCATCAGGAGGTTCTAGAGGAGTGTTTGGAAAACTTATAGGACCTTAAAAGTGGTCCAACAACCGGAAAAGTGAGGGCAAGTGTCGGAATTGAAGATTCGACATTTGGCGGCTCGAACAATCCGATCGGTTCTTCGCTGATATTTTTTTTTAAGTCTAAATATGTTTATATTATCGATTTTCTGATTGGAATTTCATCAGACGTGTCTAGAGGAGTGGCTGAAAAATTCATAGCACCCTGGAAGTGGTCCCACTATCGGAAACGTGAGGGCAAGTGTCTGATTGTAATATTCGCCATTATGCAGCTCAAGAAACTGGATTGGTTTTACGGTGATATTTTTCTTTTATGAGAAAGTTGGTTGAGGGGTTGAGAAGAATGATTCTGCAGCGATTCATATACTGATGATATTAATTTATCGTAATTCTCTTCCAGCTATATGCCTAACAAACAATATTTAATTACCAGATAATTATTCCATTCTAAATTATAAAGTCATGTATTTGAATCTTCCCAAATGATTCCCTAACTACGTGAATAATAGATGAAAAAAAAAAATTATCGTCTAAGTAACAGCAAATTTTACCGACTTATTATCACCAAATGTTCCTCCAAATTTTACCTCATTTTTTGCAGAAAATAAAAAAAAATCATCTAAATCTGTTGATAATTTGCTGATAGAGGGTGGGGGGGTTATCAATGACTCATGTCGACAGTTTATGAGTAATTTTATTTCAATTTCCCCGATACGTGGTAGACAACTTCTCAGCAATTTGTGGATTTGATGCCTTATGGGATTGAAACCTCTTTCAAATAGTATGTCAGAAGTCCCTCGGCTAGATTCATGAATCTCATAAGTTTTTCCTCGTTTCAAAATGAAATTCATTTCACTTCCATAGATTTCCCGTACAAATTATCTTGTTCCATTTACCTCTCTTGTAAATAAATTCAATTGAAACCGAAAACTGCATACGCGCGCCATCTCGCAGCTTACTTCATCCTTTCCGCCTTCACCCGAAATCGACGAGACACATCTTCACACATAATTCGGTGTAACTCTGACGCAGTATTGCCGTTCATTCTGCGAACTCCCCCACTCACTACTGCGCGCTATAACCCGACACTCTCATTGGCCCACATTAATTATTAATTATACAAAAATCGGCTGAATAAATAATTTTTGTTGTATTTTTGGTGTATTTAGAAGGTCATTTTACGTTGGGGGACGGGAGGTTTTCCACCAATAAAAATACATCCTATATAATGGGAAATCCATCCTCATGGAAGGTCGAGAAATTGCACGAAAACGTCAGGAGTATTCAACTGAAAAGAAAAAATATGGAGACGCGGGTTATAAAAGTTTTTTCACTGACGAAACGTGGTGCGGAGCTAATTATACAAAAAAAAATTTAGCTGCGTAGAAGATACATCACTCGAAAAAAATATAGATGATTTTGATTTTTACCGCTCGCGAGTACAACCTATAACTTTTATGCGAGGAGGATTTTTAGTTTCATCTGGTGCAGGCAAGTGGGTGATTATAACTCATATTGGAAGTGAACATGGATTTTTAAAAGACGGCATGTATTGTTTCGTTGGAAAAAAAATGGGGATTATCGTAATAAAATTAATTCAGAGCATTACACAGAGTGGTTACACTTCTGCGGCCGAAATCGGTAATCGTCATTGACTTAATACGATATGCCGATTGAAAATGGGGTTGATGAGATGTCCATTTTATAAAATAGGCGATCTTCTACGAATACATAATTTTTGTTTGCTTTTATTTGTGACGACACGGGTCGTCAACCCGACATTTTTTTTTGTTTATCAAATTTTTTGTTTTTCCTCAAACTATGACCTTCTTCAAAGGCATTGAAATTTGACAAGCCTCTAGGAGACCTCTCTCATCCCCTGTGAAAAGAAGGGAACGAAGAATTGTGTTTCGGGAAAGGAAGAATTGTAATTTCTTTCCCAATTCTAATATTTTTGTCATCTCCAACGGTTGGAACTCCACGTCGGCGGACTGGGTCGAGAAGAGGAGGTCCTGAGAAAAAACTCTTGGGGCCAAATAACATCGAGACCAGTCCGTTCAAGCTATTAGAAGAGAGGATTTGACGAAGGCGTCCCTCCACGAGGCCCACGCATTTCAAATGGGAGCACAAGGTGTCTCCAACCCAGGATCAAATCCCATCAACCATGAAGTAGCGATACTCCAGGATACCCTGACGTGAGTAACGACCGGAGGGAAGGATTTTCCCCCTCAAACCAGCAGGACACCAGCGAGGGATATCCGAGCGTCATCATATTTTCTATTTTTCAACGGAAACTGTCGGAATTTAATTTGAAATTTAAGCTTAGAAACATCGAACTCATTCAGTTAAGATTATTTGAGGATTAAATCTATAAAATTTCATATTGAGAATATTCTTCAATCAAAATATTTGTTAAAACTTCGCTATCCAATCAGATTTGTCGTTTTAAAACATGTGAGAGAGGATTCCTCTCCCAATTCGGACTCGAACCAGCGTCCCTAGTGAGCCTGACCGAACGTGGAGAGTGTTCTCCTAGCTGTCGTGCAGTATAGACGTGTCAGCTAGATCAGCACAATTATTTGTCATTTTCCTTATAATATTCAGTCTATTTGCTGTCCTGGTCCCTGTCCAGTCTGGCGGAAGGGGGTTTCTCGCAAATAATCAGGTGGGCAGAGCCGAATTATCATTAATTTCGAGTAAAATAAGAGAAATATAGCCTTGTCATGGCTTCTCTTTATCTAGTGCCCATCTTGGCGTCTCTATGAACTGAGGGTGTTGGAATCTATCCCTCAGATTGATTTTGAGATTTTTCATAATTACTTTGGTAAATCTGATCATTGATATCGGAGCTGATTTAATTTTCGGTTAATTTTGTTACAACCTCGAGTAGAATTTACGATTACAATTTCGAAATCTTATAATTCGATGTAAATTATTGATTTTCATAGGATTATCGATTCATTTGCTCTGTAAAAGTTTTTCTTTTGTTTTTGTTGAGGTCTCAAAGCCTTCAACCATCATTTCACTTGTAAATATTCCATATTTTTCTTTCATGAGATTATATTTTCTTTATTTTTGTATCTAAAAATGTGTTTTTCTTTGTGTGTGAGTGGAAGTTAATTACAAGGTAGAAGTATCGTCCTTCCTCCCCCTCGTAACAATAGGATCTACTCTGAAACCTGAGCTACCAGCTATTGAATTTCCTCAAAATTGTTAAAACTTCCAAATTGAGAGGAGTTGATGCACTCTCAATAAAAATTACATCGACTGGCGTCCAACACACTAAAATTTCAATTAAAAATAATTCTATTCTTTATACTAAATTTTTCCCCGAACGTCACTGTTGGAATATGGCTCCAGCTCCTGATCCTAATACAATATTATCTATAGTATAAGACATATCTGTGTAAACTAAGAGGAGAACGAGATCGTGTGCATGCGCAGATCTCGTCCCAGGCCGGTTGCGGCGTGTGTGCGATACATTCCTGTACGAGACGTGTTGGACACTAGACGCGAGACGAGTGATGTGCTTCATTGAATAAATCTTGACGAATTAATACAGTCTGTTAATTTATTATGTCCCAATCCCGCATAATTTATCAGGTTATGGGCGACGGTCATGAATCAAATGCGCAATAATAAAATAAAACTGTGAATAAAAGCTGTGTATAAGTGAAAAAGAAAAACTCAAGTGGAAGCCAGGATAACCACGAGGACCTGAGCGGTGTGATTCGAGGCCAGAGAGACAAGGAAAAAAAATGGAAAATCAAGACAAAACGCTGAGTAAGTAAAGTGACTAACAAAAAGGAAAAGAAAAATCCAAGAAATAAGCATCTCCAGAACGGCAATGGAAATTGCATCATCCCGAGAGCTTGGCGGGAACGAGTAAACCAGACACAAAAATGGCGGACAATCATGAGTAACCGACGCGTCTAAAACAATTTTCGTTAGAAGCCTAAATAAAAGTTACTTAAAAAGTTGGAAAAAATTAAATTAAAACAATGACGTGAATCAAGTTTTTCATGTATATGAGGATGAGCTAGTAGAGTTGGTGAGCTGAAAAACATTAAAAATAAAGATAAGGAATTTGATGAGGGACAAGCTCTAAGGGGGGTCGGTTGGCGTGGTGGGTGCGTCGCTGTAACAGCGGCACGTAGTAATACATAAAGTAGAGCCTACTGAGATGGAGACGCGCATATAACACATAAAGTAGAGTGCACTGGAATGGCGACGCGTAGTAATACATAAAAGAGTGCTCATGCATGAGAGCACGTGTTCCAACCAAACCCGATGTGTAAAAGAAAATATTAATTAACCTACACCTCAGTGTGAAATTGAATCGTAATCATTAATTTGATTAAAATTACCACAGGTGACGACTTGTGGGAATTGTGGAGGAACTTGACTACTTCCTTCGGATTCGATGAGTTTCACAGAGGAGAGAATGTTATTCTCGAGGAGATAGAGGAAACTCTATTAATGAAAACTCACAAGATCAAGTGTTACAAATTTGTTGAGTTGACGTGAGTTGACGTGAGTTAACGAGAGACGACGTGAGTTGACAAGAGGTCAGGACGAGAAAGAGATGAGAAATGCATGCGATTGAGTGCTTGTGAGGATATTAGCCAGCAAATATCTTCGCAATTTACAGATATATATGTAGAGTTTTCAGAATCAAATCTGAAATTAGGATATTCCATACGGTTGATTGGCGGTAGCACGTTTGACCGTACGACGTTTGAAACTGATCGACTTTTTGGGCATAAATTAGTCTTTGTGTACATTTCTAATTTGTGTTCAAAGCTCTAATGCTGACAATGATTGTGTTCATCTTGTTAGCAGCGGAGCAAATCATATAATTTTCATAAAATTATAATTAATTAATCATAAACTAAATTAATTTTAACAGGTGAAAATGATATCGGATGGTATGAAGACAAGCTTCTAACTAACACACCTCCCATCATGCCTGAAGTTTATGAGGAACATCCACCAATTACTACTGAGGTCAGTGAGAAGAGTGATGATGTGGAGAGCATGGACGGGGGTGAGAAAATTGAAGAGAATGGTAAGGGCGATGAGGTTGACGAGAATGACGAGGACGTGGAGAAAAGATCAGGTGTGCCGGCCGGACGAGACGGCGATGAGTCAGTAGTAGTTGATGCTCTCAAAACAGGTAACAATAAACCCCAAATTAAAAGAATTGAATACCTAGAACCAAAAGTTCAAATAAAGTACCCAGAACAAATTCACCCAAAAGATCTAACGAAGAATTATACTAATAAATCGCGAACTTAAATTTGAGTGCAACACAAGCTAGAATTAATTTGTACAAAACTGCACTCGGTGACCAGTGCACTTATCAAAGTTGTGAATATTCAAAGCAAAACGAATTGCTGGTTGCTGGATAGCATCAAAGAGGTGAGAGAAGAGGTACAATAAGTGAAAAATGATAAGGATGACAGACTTTCCAGCATCGAACAAAATCTGGAGAAACTGTTGACGTGGGCTGAATATGAGGACAATGGTAATGAGGTGAGAAATGGGTCAGATTTAGCAGATAATGGCAGAGATCTTGACGAGGATGGGGAGTTGGACGAGGAAATTTAGAATATTGTTAAAAGACAGTTGAAACAACTAGAATGACAAATACTGAATCAAAATAGGGGAAGCAATAAAGAAGGTAATGGTAATGTGGTGGCAGAAAATATTAAACTAGATCTCATAGACGAGGGGCTATCAGTTAAACGAGATTATAAATTAAATAGTAATACTCGATATGAACATTTCTTTGATTATTTCGATCTCCTTTACGAGGTATGAAGAACCACGCCGCTCCGGGTCCTGATGGCATTAACGCCTTTTGGGGGAAGAGGTTTACCTCTGTTCATGACCATCTGGCCCGGATATTCACCGAATTTCTCGATGGTAGTGAGCTTATTCCTGAGTGGTTGGTAGAGGGGAGAACTGTGTTACTCCCTAAGAAGGGAGACTTTCGCAATCCGGCGAACTATCGGCCGATCACGTGTTTGAATACACTTTATAAGCTCCTCACCGGTATCCTGAATGAGCGTATCCTCCATGACATACAACCAGTGTGGCAGCAGATACATGAACAGCGAGGAGTGAAGCGGGGACTGTCAGGTTGCAAGGAAGGTCTGCTGGTCGATCGCTGCGTATTGCGCGATTCGAGGCAGTACCATCGCAATTTGTCAGTTGCCTGAGTCGACTATCGCAAGGCATTCGATAGCACGAGTCATGAACTCATTTTCCTACTATTGGATTGCCTTGCGGTAGAGGACAATATAGTGAGTTGTATCAAAGATCTTGCACCACTTTGGAGAACGCGCTTCACCATAACATCTGGTGAGGGTGAGCTGACTTCGAGGTTGGTGCAGTATAGGAGAGGAGTCTTTCAGGGTGATACTCTGAGTCCTCTATTATTTTGGGTCTCACTAATGCCGCTATCTGTTGCGCTGCGTTGTGTTGGAGGGTACCAAGCCGGAAAACCCGGTGATAGGAGGCATCAGGTCAGTCATGTGTTTTACATGGATGACCTGAAGTTATTTGCCTCAGGAGAGCGGCAACTCAAGCTTCAGCTTGATACTGTCGCAATGTATTCACATGCGGTCGACATGAGTTTCGGATTGGAAAAGTGCGCCGTCTTCAATGTGAAGAGGGGCAAGGTTGGTGGCGAGGTGGATGATCTTCAGCTTGTGGATGAAAGCGTCATACATCATCTTGGGCCGAAAAGTCGTATCGATATCTTGGCTTCAATCAGCGTTCCGTAGTGGAAACTGTGGGAGTCAAAGAGACTCTTCGCGAGGAATATCGGCGGCGGCTCAGGAAAGTTTGGAAGTCCGAGCTTTCCGGCAAGAATGAAGTCGCAGCAACGAACATGTTCGCTGTCCCGGTACTTCTTTATTCCTTTGGTATTCTCAAATGGAGTAGATTTGAGCTGGAGCAGCTGGACAGAGATACCCGCAAGCTGATGAACATTCATAGGATTCTCCATGCACGTTCTTCGACTCTGCGGTTGTATTTTCAGCGAGAGTGTGGAGGACGAGGACTTCTCAGTTTGGAGGCTTTTCATGATCGTCTAGTCCTCGGTTTAGCTTGTGACGTCATGAATGGCTTGGATCCACACTTGGAGTTCGTGCATGATCATGAGCTCCATGGGGTTCAAGCCTTTCTATACAAGGCAGAGGATACGGCAGCGGCTTCCCTCGGTTTGGAATTTCGTCGCGGCCGGGATGGCCAGTTAGCTAGTGATTCATTAGCCATCATGGCCAAACCTCGGCGTAGAGCGACCATCAAGGCGGCGGAGCAGTCCACCTTGCTCCGCCAGCACGTTGATAGGCCCGTGCATGGTATATTCTTCCGCCATGTGGAAGAGCAGGGTCTTTCCGTCCAGCTGACATTCGCCTCCTTGAAGTCAGCTGGCTTGATATCTGAAACTGAGGGTTTCATCTGCGCATGTCAGGATGGCGTGATAAACACTCTTGTCTATCGAAGTCGTGTTATGGGGGTGCATGTTCCGGATACTCGATGTCGGATTTGCAAGCAATCCCCGGAATCTCTGATGCATCTTTTGTCGGCTTGTCCGACTTATGCAATCACGAGTTATATCCACTGTGCTGTATTATCATTTGCGGCACTCTTATGGGATAGACAGAACGCCGGTGCTGCCTTACGCTCCAGGAGATATTGAGTCCGTTGTCGTGAACGAGAGGTGTAAGATTTACTGGAACTTCTCGTTCGCAACTGTCAGGCCAATCGTTGCAACGAAACCTGACATCGTCCTCTTCGATTTTGATGACAAAATCATCTATATCATTGAGTTCTCAGCTCCGGCTGAGAGCAACATCACAGTGAAAGAAGAGGAGAAGCGACTCATATACTAGCCACTCCTGTTTCAGCTACGTCAAATAAATCGGGGATTTGAAGTAAAGTTAGTTGTCCTGATAATTGGCTTTCTTGGGGGAATGAAAGAGTCATTCATATTTGCGCTGAACACCATCCGTGCATGCAGGCGTCAAGCATTCATTTTGGCTGGCCAAATGCAGAAGGCGGTCATTTTTGGATCCCTCCGTCTACTTAGACAGCACGATTCTGGACTGCAGTAGAGCTCACCCTCTGGTTGGAGGGAGCACTACTGTAGAGCGATTAGGAAAAGTTTGTATCGCTTAGCTTGCTGGGCGGTCTTCGAGGTGAAGTCGGAACCCTCGAGGATCGTTCAGCGATCTCATTTACGAGTGTAAAAATAATAATAATAATAATAATAATAATAATAATAATAATAATAATAATAATAATAATAGGCGTAGGGAGTGTGGCGAACCCATCGCCCGGCATGTCCGCAATAGCCATGGTAGTGTCGGGCTAACCACGCGGCGGCACCTATACCCGGTTCCGTCATCGAGCGGCGGCAGAGCCCCCCACAATCGGTCCCTCTCGGATGGGGACCGCGGATGAGTTGGGAAGGGTGAACGATCTGGATCCAATGGTAACAACCCGGCTGTCCAAAGGATTAGGTGGACGGAGGAACTCAAGGAGGACCTCATGCAATGTTGGTAGGACAGTGTGCCGACATAAGTGGGCTACATGGCAAGAATGCGAATCTTGCGCAATGGACCCTGAGTTGTCGCACTCCACAATTCAGCATCTGAGAGATCAAGCCAGTCGCTTACGCCGACAGGGGTATGATTTACTAGTCGTTCCACGGGGGCTGATGGATCCTCCTCCTCTTGTGGTATGTCAGAAGAGTGAGGATATACAGTCAGAGCAGCCGACCCAACAGAGCCACGAAGAGCTTCAGGGGTCCTCGCGTGATATAGGGGCAAGACGAGAGAGAGTCACAGGAAAGTTCCGTCTCCGGCCTGAAGATGTGGCCATTGAGAATGCGGGTCCGGCCGCAGTCCTTTCTCCGGATATCAAATTGCTCGATCTGAACTGGGCTGTGTATGATGCGGCTGCTCGTTTGAAGCCTTAGAACCGAAGTAAAGGGTCATTTGATGTAAAAACGCGAAGGCGCATTGCACAGCACCAAGGTAAAGTCGATGAGGCTAGGAAGCAGGCCCCGCGCATTCAGTGTGTGATTGACTTCATCATCGGTGGTAAGCCTTTTACGGCGCGCATTCGTAAAATATCCGCGAATTTGCGCTACCATCATCACACACTGAATAAATCAGTCCTGCACTTGATTAAGGAGAGTTTTGTTGAGAGGGTGCGCCTTCTGGGGACCATGAAGCGGCCTCTGGAATAGCAGTTGCGTCGAGTGGTAGACAATTCTGTCTTTCATTCTGATTCCAGTCGCTGGTTTGAGCCACCTATGCCTGCGCCGGATAAGATGCCTTCAGTTGAGCGAGATGAAGAGTTCTGGGGAGCGGGAAAAGAGGGGAAAACATCGTTGGCAGCGCGTGGAATTTTCGCGAGTCACTCAGGACGAGGTTCGATCTGCTTTGCGAGGTATGAAGGACCACGCCGCTCCGGGTACTGACGGTATTAACGCCTTTTGGTGGAAGAGGTTTACCTCTGTGCCTGTCCATCTGGCTCGAATATTCACGGCGTTCCTCGACGGGGATGAGTCTGTTCCTGAGTGGTTGGTGGAAGGGAGGACTGTGCTGATCCCGAAGAAGGAAGACTTGACTGACCCGGCGAATTATCGACCGATCATGTGTCTGAATACACTATATAAGCTCTTCACCGGTATCTTGAATGAGCGTATCCTCCATAATATACAGCCAGTGTGGCAGCAGATTCACGAACAACGAGGAGCGAAGAGGCGACAGTCAGGTTGTAAGGAAGGTTTACTGGTCGATCGCTGCGTATTGCGCGATTCGTTGCGGTACCATCGCAATCTGTCGGTGGCCTGGGTCGACTATCGCAAGACATTTGATAGCACGAGCCATGAGCTCATTTTCATACTTCTTGAATGCCTTGCGGTAGAAGACAAGATAGTGAGATGCATTAAAGATCTTGCGCCTCTCTGGAGGACGCGCTCTTCACTATAACATCTGGTGAGGGGAAGCTGACTTCAGGGTTGGTGCAATTCAGGAGAGGAGATTTCCAGGGTGACACCCTGAGTCCTCTTCTGTTCTGCATCTCACTCATGCCGCTCTCTGTTGCGCTACGTTGTATTGGGGGATATCAATCTGGAAGACCTGGCGATAGGAGGCACCAGGTTAGCCATGTATTTTACATGGATGAGCTGAAGTTATTCGCCTCAGGAGAACGATAGCTCAAGCTTCTGCTTGGCGTTGTGGCAGTGTATTCACGTGCGGTTGGCGTGAGATTTGGGGTGGACAAGTGCGCCGTTTTCCATCTCAAGAGGGGCAAACTCAGTGACGAGATGGGTGATCTTCAGCTTGTTGATGGAAGCGTCATACATCATCATGGCGCCAAAGAGTCATATCGATATCTTGGCTTCAATCAGCGTTCCGCAGTGGACACTGAGGCAATCAAGGAGACTCTTTGCGGAGAGTACCGGCGGCGGCTGTGGAAAGTTTGGAAATCCGAACTTTCCGGGAAGAATAAAGTCACCGCGTCGAACATGTTCGCTGTCCCGGTGCTTTTCTACTCCATTGGAGTTCTCAAGTGGGGTGGAGGTGAACTGAAGCAGCTGGATAATGATATCCGCAAGCTGATGAATATCCACAGAAGTCTCGATCCACGCTCTTCGAGTCCGCAGTTATATTTTCCGCGGGAGAGTGGGGGATGAGGACTTCTCAGTTTGGAGGCTCTACATGATTGTCTAGTCCTCGGGTTAGCTTGTGACGTTATGAATGGTTCGGATCCGCACTTGTGGTTCAAGCCTTCCTATATAAGGCAGCAGATACCACAGCGGCGTCCCTCGGTTTGGAATGTCGTCGTGGCCGAGATGGTCAGTTGGCTGGTGATTCATTAGCCTTCATGGCCAAATCTCGAAGGTAATGGGAGATCCGAAGAGTCCAGGCCAACGATCTCTCCGCATCGTCCAGAAACTGGAGTGCTGGAGGATCCGAAGGCTATATCAATTCCGATGCGATGATCTCGGCGAATCTCCTCAGAATAATAAATGACAATTAATGGGCGAGGGACTCAAGTATGCAAATGTCACTTAAGAGTGCCATTTTGCCCCATATTCGATTCCGTCCTCCATCAAGAGCGTCGTGGCGTCACAGGGAAATTCCTGGGGCTCACGCGCTTCAATGTCGTGATTTTCGGGGTCTCGTCTTCCAAGAAATATTAAATTAATGAATTGAAACCTTGGGGGAACTTTACTGAGCTAGAAGAGCACTCATTTGAGGCTTCAATTCGCTCTGGAAAGAGGAAAAACCGCCATGTGCACGACAGCGTCACCCACGGCACGTGAGGAGCATGTGTGCACTTATAGGCCTGTTTTATCCACTTTTTCCCACTAGAATTGGCACTGGACATTCCCCATGCGTTCTCGAGGGTCCTAGTGAATTAATTATGCACAGAAGGTGCATTAATTGTTCACAAGATCTCCTGGTGAACGGAGAGGGCACAATGGCGCCATGGCAGGGCATGGGCCGTGTGCGGCCTTTTATTGGGTCTCACTGTCCATTTTCACTATCACTTGAGTTTCACTGGGGTTTCATCACTCAGGAGAGGTCTGGAGAGCCGAACGAGGATTTTATGGACTCACTGGTCCATTTATCCACTCGCTCGGAGGAGTTTTGGTGGTTGGGAATGCATCTCGGTGTCACTCTTGTGAACGCCGGTGCACTTTTCCCGGAGGTTATCAGTGGGCATACTGGAATAGATGCACTTCTCTCCTCGGGAGAGAGTGCACATGGTGAACAAAAATGTACTTACCATGTTCCTCGTGTGGGCCTTCAGCGATGGTCTCCACCAACTCTCTCAATCGCTGCAGATCTTCTCAGGAATGTCGTCGCAGTGGTTGCTCGGGTCCAACTCTCTCGTAAACTGCGTCTAACCGGCGGAGGTTCTCAGCTGGCTGGCGCGACTGGCACGCCGTCTAGCTGCTGCTGGGGCGGGCCCATGTAACCGAGCACGCGGGGATTTTGATTCAAATGGGTTTCAGACTTATTTAGGCATTCCGCCGTTAATTATATCTTTTATGAAATAACCCAAGGGGTTTTTATCCATAATGGCTGAACGATAGTTATCTGGAGGTTCGGAAAGGGGGGAATTAAGGCAGTTGTTCACCTTTTCTCCTCGCGAATGCACTTCATACCTGAGTGAGTGCACTTTTCGCTGCTGTCACTCTCCCGGGAGTCATCCTGGAGTCACCGTGAACAAATCCAAAGAGAGAATAGCCCATGGCGATCCATGCAGACGAGTGGGCTATGTTCATCCACATGGCCTTCCAGCTGCACTGGTGAATCCAACGACTCCACGAAGTGCCTTAGGCAGGGAGCGTGAGTATTTCACCTCAACCTTTGTGATCAGCAGCCGCACTCAACGAGATCAGCGAGATCCCACCGGGAAGCTCGGTGTATCGGCTCTGAACCGCGGTGGATCGTCGTCCCTCTCAGGATCCGCGAGATTTCAAAATACAAAAACATAACTAGGAAAATATAATTACTGTAAATTTTCCCTTAACCATAAAATCGAAAATTTATCCTCTAAAATCCGAAATAAACCAGAATGATAACTGAAACTAAAAGAGAGCAAAACTTTAATATGACTTGAACCGGAGATTTTACTTTTTACTCGTTTTTAATGTGTATCGACACGTGAATTTGATTATTTATAGAAATCGAACGTTGTTTTCCCCGCGAGGCCCTTCCTGATGTTCTTGGAGACCGGTTTCTACGAGCTAGAGGTAAAAGGGGTGTTGCATCGCCCTTCGGTAGGGGTGCTAACTTTGGGGTTAAGGAAATCGCGCCTCTCTCTCCGAAAAGATCAAAATAAGTTCACACTTACCTACTCACTCTTACGATTTACTTAATTCTACGACGAAGTTGTATACAGGTGGCGGAATTCTCGAAAATTCCGTCACAAGTGCTTGTAACGAATATAATTAATAGATTTTACGTGAGTGATTTTACCGCCATTTTTGTGTTGCGACGGGTATCAAAATAGGGGATCTAGTGACAGTTGTCATCCGATAATTATGCACTAATAACAATTCTCACCCCTCTCAGACCCAATTACCGACCTTCCGGAGGTCATAACCTATTCAGTTATGTGCATATCATATTTTTAAATTATTTTTTATCCCCCAAATGAGGGTTCCCGTGAATTGACTTTTCCCCTAGGGAACCCACTAGGGAACCCCCTAGGGTGAGATATCCATAAGTGGTTGAGGATAGACAAAGAGGGGGATGGCGAGAAGAGGGTTAAAAATTATTACGCCTGGGCTGCAATTTATGACCGTCCATGCGCTGTGACAGGTCCCGTATACATTTTGAGGTCCATCGAATTTTATCATTGGGTTTCATGTTTTTGGGGTCCCTGAACACGAATATGTAAACCATTTTTGCGAGGTGTGGTCAGTTTTGTTTATTTATAACAATTTAAATGTTTATAGCGCGATTTCGCGGAAATGGTTCGAGTTAGGTAAAAAAGTTTTGCAACAAAAAATGTTCTTCATCTAAAAATACATACATTTCATTTTATTATTTTCTTTCCTATTTCTCATAGTTATCGAATTATCACCTCCGAAAGCAGGTAGTGGAGGGTGGAAGCACGCGCACGTGATCCTTCGCGCACTCCGCTCAGGTTACTATGGAAGCGGTTGGGAATCACCGGAAATAGTTGAAATAAAAAATATTCCCTATTAAAAACTACATAATTATTGTTTTAAAACATTTTTTCCAAAATTCAACGGTTAACGAAATAATTTGATGGAAATGAGGAAAAACAGCCCCAATTTCCATCCAATGTGATATAAAATCCAAGTTATCTTCAATCAATCAATCTTATCTTTGTCAATTTTTCAATTTGTCACATTTTGAAATGATGCATCATCGAGACAGGTTTTTGATGAATAACTTTCATCATTCACTTTTTTCTCTTATCCAATTATTTACGACACTATTAGAACGTAAAGACTGCGAGTACTGCCTAAAACGTCGCTAACAACATCCCCTAATGTCCGATAAATAATACTTTTCGGGCCATCCAATTTGATTGATTGAGATAGAAGACATCGAGACGAATATTTTGAAGACAAATAAAATCGGTTGAGTCATTTTTGAGATATTTGCGAAAAACCATTTATAATCAAATGGTAAGTTCTCAAAAACAGCTTGATCGATAGGGTTGAAATTTGGCACACTGTTAGTTCTTATCAATACCCATAATCGGACAATATTTCATATTTTTGGCAATTATTTTAGTCTTTCTATTTTTCTAGTTTCGAAAAGTTGACCACCAGGGGGACATCCGCACATACACACAAGGCCGTCAAACTTCGTAGTTTTACGTTTCAGGCCATTGTACATAATTTACAAGCAAAATTAGAGAATCTAATAATAGGACGATTTCAATGCTTACATTCAGAAGGAATTAGAGGTAGAGGGCGGGTTAAATGTCGTAATTTATAAATAAAATGTTAATACACCGGTTTTGTACTTGATAAGCTGGAGGGGTGAGGTCCACTCAAAATTGCTCTGGTGACAATTTGACGAGGAGTGAGGGAGAGCGGGATCTTAATGAGGGCAATAATACCAATCAATTGTAAATGAACCAATCAATCGGTGTTTATGAGAATTTCCAATTTTTCCGGAATAATTTTAATGATTGATCAATATCAGAGCAGGATTTCGAAATTTTCATGGAAACATTTTTCGGAATCAAAGTCGAAATGTACAAAAAGTATCTCAGAAAAATTCCGTTGTTTTCATAACATTCCAAGATATTTCCGGAAAATGGTCATTATTGATGGATTCTGAATGTCCATCAAAAATGGTCATTTTTGATGGACATTCAGAATCTAAGCAGGATATCGCAATATTCGAAGAACGGAGTGGCATCGGAACGGAGTGGTCGTGGTTTTTGGTGGTGGACAGAGAAATAGTGAGGAACGGTGGTTTTAAGGAGAGAGGAAGTGTGGCAGTGGCAGGAAGTGGGAGTGGAAGAGTTAACGAGAGTGGAGCGAATGTAAGGAAATATGGAAAGGTCCGGAAGGGAAAGAAAATGAGTGGAAAAGAGGCACTTTGGAGGTTAGAAGCAGGAGGTGACGAAGCGGCGGGAAAGGGGGGAGTAAGGGAACAGTTAAGGAGGAACGGAGTGGACTATGGGATGAAGTGCGGTCAAGTTAGGTAGGCTGGTAGATGGCGGGAAATAAGGGAACAGGAGAGACACGCGGCGAGAGCAAATAACCAGGGGAATGCAGGGGAATGCAAAAGGTGGAGAACGCTACGGCAGACGATAAGGATGGAGGAGAGGAAGCACGAGTACGACATGAGGAGGAGAAGAGCGGATGGGAGAGAGTGGAGAAAAGGAGGAGAGAGAGGGAGGAACAGATGCTGGAGGAACGGAAGAAACTGAGGGAGAAGAGATTATGATTATAAAGGGGCTTACGGAAGATGGGTGGAACGCTAGGAAAGTGGCAAGGAGGATGTTGGAGAAGGTCTGTGGTGAGGAGGTGGAAATAGCGAGGATGGTGGAGAGGAGGGGCGACAGAGGTGATAGGGTGCTGGTAATGGAATTGAGTGGTAAGGAAGTAGCCCAGATGGTGTTGCGGAGTAAGGTGAGGATCATGGAGGACTGTGGGCTATACGTTGATAGGGACCTGTCGTTTGAAGAGAGAAGGATGAGGGCGAGGGCGGGGGCGAGGGCAGAGAAGAGGGAGGGGAAATGTGTGGTAGAAGAGGAAGGAAGGGTAGGAATTGAGGGAATATGGTGGTAATGAGATGCAGAGAAGGAAGTATGGTATAGAGAGAAGGAGGAGGAAGATGAAAAGAAGAAAGAGGGGGAAAAGGATGACGTGAAAGGGACAGGGAAAAGCCAGAATGGTGGAATGAAACAGAAGGAAGATGGAGAGGAGAAAGAAGGGTCAAAGGATGAAGAGGAAGGGACAGGGAAAAGCCAGGTTGGAGGAACGAAACAGGAGAAGGTGGATAAGGAGTGAGAGGAATAGTGGCGTCGGTGGCAGTAAGCGATGGGGGGGNCGGGGGGGGGGGGGGTGAACTGAGTAGCTCCCCTGGGCGCGGACGGAAACCGGCGCGCACTAGAGCAAGGGGTGCTGGGAGTGAAGGGCGGAGACATGGAGCTCAGCAGAAGGAGGAGACGGAAGGAGAGGCAGCGGGTCAGCGCGTGAGGAGAGAGAGAGAGAGGAAGAGGCAGTGTGTATTTGGGTGTAGGGAGGAGTGACGGTATAGGAGGAGAGGGAGGGAGGCCGGGGTGTAACGGTGTGGCCCGGCAAAGAATGCGTGTGAGTGTGGTTTCTGTGCGAGTGTGTAGATGGTTTGGATAGAGGAGAGAAGGGAGGAAAGGATTGGAGGCGTGGGTGGGAGAATGAATGAGGAGGAGTGAACGTAAGTTAGAATAATTCCTAGGGTATAAAATATGTGACGAGTATTGTAATCAGATTGTAGCCCGAAAGGGAAGCCAATAAACATACATACTATATCGCAATGTTCATTAAGACCTTTTTTGGGTAGAATTCTGCCATCTTGATTATACTCAGAGATATTTCCGGAAAATGGTTTTCGTCAAAGTAGAATTTACTTTACCCGTTCTGTCGCTCCATTTCAAGACCATTTTTCATCAATATCTCGGAACCTCTGCAGAATAGCAGAATGTTTATGATGACCTCTTGTTTATGCAAATTCCAAATCCGCAAAAAAGGTCTTCTGCCAAATTACATCATCTCGATTAGATTCAGAGATAGTCTCGGAAAACGGTTTCTCCTAAATTCTCCGGAATTCTCCATGGGACTTTATTTTGTAGATTTTCACTTTGTTTACAAAAAAGGCCCTTATGAAAAATTTGCTATTGCTATTGCAAAAATGACCTTCAGGAACAGGAATAGATAAATTATGGTCCAAGGAAGACCATTTCCCAGAAATATATCGAAATTTGTTGAAAATGGACAAATTTTCCGAAACACCATTTTTGGTAGATTTCACTTGGTTGGCAAAAAAGGTTTTTTGGAATACTCAGATACCTTGATTAGATTTCGAGATATTCAGAGATAATGGTCTTCCCTGGATTACATTTGATCTATTCATACTTTTCGAGGTAATTTTCAGTAAATATCTCGGAACCTAAGCAGACATTTCTTGTGAACGACTGTTGAATTCTGCATCTAAGATTTTTTGCAAAATTTTGGCATCTTCATTGCGGTTTGAGATAATTCCCTCGTAGAAATTTCGGCTGGCGAAGCGACTTTGTGCGTCAGGGCGACATTTTGTAGGCGCCTACGCCCGTACACGTTAGACTCCGCTTGTAGAAATTTCGATCGCCGGAGCGACTTTGTGCGTCGGGGAGCCTATCATGATCAAAAAACGCAAGGTTAACATCACATAATATAAATGATAAACAAATGAAAACACAATGAAGCATACATTGCGTTTTCATTTGTCTTTAATTTGTCATGCGATGCGAACACTTCATTTATTCTTCATGATAAGCCCCTTAACACACAAAGTGGCCCCGGTGATAAAAATTTTTATCAAGGGCGCTGCGCCCGGATTCTGCCCGTGTTGCATTTAGCATTTACACCGCACCTCTCCGAAAAGCCACGTTTACGATACCCTACGGTCTGTCAGACCGCTACTCCGTCTGGATCCCATTTCCCGTTTGTTTGAGCGAATAAATCAATACTTCTTGTAACTGAAAGTTCAAATGAGGGCTAAAACGGGGAAAGGTCTGTAAAGGATTTTTGTCGGTGCTCCACCAGCAACTATCCCAAACTATTTTGGGCATCTCCTCTATCGTTCAATTAAGTCGGGCGCCAGCTGGATTTTCACGGAAAATCCAACGGTAAACCGGCCTCAGAGGATAACTCGTCTACCCTGAGGACTTCTCGTGGCGGGGCTAACAANGAGGATAACTCGTCTACCCTGAGGACTTTTCGTGGCGGGGCTAACAATGCCGAGCCAGCATCAGCGTAAAACGGTAGAGTAGGCGAGGTTCACCATACTAGGAGTATTTCACTCGATCGATCCTCGTCTTTTCAGCCGAGAGACTGCGATTAAGCGTATCTTCCAGGAGCTATTCCTCCATGTATCTTTCGCCGAGGATGTTTCCATTCCTCTGACGTATTCCTTTCCTCTCCAGAGTGGCTCAACTCTGGAGAAGTCGACCATCACTTGCGAATCCTTCTCACTCCTCGGAGCGCCGAACACTGAGAGGCACATGCGACACAGGTATCCGGAGACTTGTTCTCACCCACCTGTGCCCACCCCAACTCAACCTCAATGCTCGGTAAAAGCACTATCATTGCGGGCCAACACCCAGAGTACTCGTCGTGGAGGTACGTGCGATGAGGCCTCCAGGAGTCGGCCTAACTCCCGGCCCACGGATCCACGCCAACACCACTTCTTTCGTCCGAAGTGATGGATCCCTGAGAACCTGGAATGAAAACACTCCACGTCCTCAAAGTAATCCGATCCTTCTGTTTGGGACGCCGAAGCGTCCCATTCTCTCGCTGTTCCGGACCTTGTCCTCACAACGGACCCCCCATAATCCATAATGGACTAATGCCACTTCCAACCGTCGTCGAGGACCAGACGATTTACATCCGCTCGACTCCAATGCCTGTCACCGACTGTCTAAAAATCTCCTAGGGCCTTCTCCCCCTAGTCTGAACATCTCAGCGGCGGTGGGTCATCCGTTACCCCACCACCACCAATCAGCTCGACGGCAATCGAGGGGGCGCTAGTCCTCTCACCTAGCCGTTGGTCCCTAGTCTAACCCGATAGCGCTTCTAGAATCGCCCAGTTGGAACGCCAGTACGTTGGCCCGTTTCCCCCAAACACAGCTGGGCGAGTTTCTAGATAAGGCGACAGGGTATCGACAGCCTCTCTATAATGTTCAGAAGCATGGTTTCACCCAAACCACGCCTCTTGGCATTATTTGATTGGTCTATTCACCTCACGCGCAGTTCACTTGAACCGCCGTTCGATGTCACTCTCATCTCTCGCTCAGCTTCTTCAGCTGGCGTTAGATGTCGCTCTCTCTCTCTCTGTCCCTCACTCTAACCATTTTTAACTCATGTGTTTTCGTGTTGGTAAAACAGTTTACCGTAACGAGAAAATCTCGTTACAGGTCAAACAAGGAAAGGTTAAACAATGAAAGGGTCAAAGGGGGAAGGGTTGAATATAAGAAGCAAAAAGTATGAGTATACTTAATTTCATTTGTTTTTCTTCACACATAAATGTTTGTTATAAAAATTTATTCATATAAATTTCGCCTGTTAATCCTTGATTATCGAACTAATAAAGATATGGCATTCATTACGAATAATTGTTGCTATTTTTTTTCAATTCCCTCAGGGAATAAATTACAAGTAACATTGGTGATTTGATGGATTTATCGGGGCAAAAAATTGTCAAAAACGTTTTGTATCCATTGGAATAGATGAAATAGGACGCTATTGGAAGTTTGATTTTTTTTTCTTACATTTATCCATAGTTATACACTGTGAAAGTTTTAATAGCGGTCCCACAGACCATGAGTTCGGTGTAAAGGTTAACAGAGATGAGTTGCTGACCGCACGAACAAAATTCATATAAAAATTTGGCGAATTCGTTACCAAATCCTAAGGAAATTCTATTGACAATGCTATCAGTTTTTGGCCGATTCTATTGAAAGATTCTGCACCTTTACTGCGCCTTTTTTTATCGATAATGTTCAATTGAAACTATGTCATGGAAAAAATCAGTATGATTTCATCTTCACATACAACTTTTACAATTGAAAGATTCTCTATATAAATTCCTCGCTATTAATTTTCACAGTTTTTTCAATCCATCAATTTATTTTTTCCATGAAAACAATCAAATAAAAATACTTGAAAAAATTGAGTCGAACTATTTCCATGTAAAATGTCTCTATAGAATAACTTGTATTGAAATAGATAATTCTATCAATTTTTTTTATTGAACATTCCTATTAAATCATAATGCGCAGACAAGCTGGGAAATTTTCAAAAGAATAGTTCAAAAACTGATAGAGAGTTCCATAGAAATCCAAAATAACTTTCTAATTAATTCACTAAGTTTTATTTTTTAAGTTTTTCCTACGGGATAGCCGATAGGAAATGGTTTTCCGGTATTGTGACAGATTGCCATTTGTGAATTTTATTGATTATTAAACCCAATGTTACCAATTAGTAATTACTGCAACTTGGGGGACGACGACCCTAATTTTCTCACAATTTGGCAAAAAACATCTTGGGAAGATTCGTTATTTGAGATAGTGGCCTATTATTCGTATTTATGATACTTTCATCATTCTATTGTTTTTAGTCAGTATTTAACACGTTCTGCAACGAATTTGAGATGCAAAAAGAACCCCGTCCGTGAGTTTGCCCATTTCGGCCGCTAGGCGTACTCGCGGGGACGTTCGTGAATGCGCTGCTCAGGCCCTTATGCGGAGCGTCGCCGGGAGACTGAATGCCACCCTGTCAAGTCTGAGGGAGCTCCAACCGACTTTCAATTTCTACTAGGGAAGACCAGCACATCATCGTTCCCAATGTCAAATTCACCTGTCCCGGTTTGTCGCTTTATTACAAGGTCATTATTAATGATTACTGATTCTGCTTGTATTTCAGCCACTCACACAGTTGCGGATTACCTTATTTCATTTCGTTTTCATATTCAAGAATAAGAAATTCCATACGAGAAACCAAAATAACAGACTCCCAAATTTTTAAATAATAAAAACAAATAGGGATTACATTAGTTCATCACAATTTATTTATACACTCATGCAACATGTCGTATTTCGATTTCATCCTTCCGGTTTTTTTATTATCCACACAAAACTCCGCCCACACATTCATAGCGAGCATCTAGAAGGCGTGGCTTCTACCTCGTTGCCAGCATGCGGTTGGAGTAGTCAGTTGAAACACCTACTTTCAGTCCATACAATAACGATAGATGCCCTGAAACATAAAGTACA